CTCTCTCAGGTTGCCCCCCTACAGCTGAGGCTTTGCTCTACGGGATCCTGCAGCTCCAGAGGAAAATCAAGCGGGAGAAGAGGATTCAGATCTGGTACAGGAAATAGCCTTTATTTATGTCCCCACTCTGCCCCCGGGCACCGCTCACGTCACGCACAAATCCGGGTCCTCACGCGCCTTCAATAAACCTCTACCTGGTCGAGGTGCTCTCCTGTCTTTAATAAATCCCTGTGATGGAAAAACCGGACTGAAAAAACTGGACTAAAAAGCTGGAGCTGAATTTGGTAACACTCAGCGTGTTGGCTTGTGCTCTGAACAACCTGTGAGGGAAGGAGAATGATGTCATGTCACGACATAAAGGCCTTGCCAGAAGCTGGGATGTGCTTTTTAGTTTTATTGGGAAGTTTTGAGACCAGCACATGTCCAGGTGATCCCTGAGCTCTTTCCTTACTCACCAGCTGCTCATGTTGGTAATTCCCACACGGGATCTAATAGATCCATAGTATCTGTGTGCACAGGGGCCAGGCAGTCATTCTGTTTGTGTAACTAAGTAAAACATTAGTGCTTAAAATCACAGTCTGACTAATAAAACCGAATGCAGAGCTCCTTAGCAGAGTAGGGATAAAGCAGCCTGTCCTGGCTGCATCCCAGGAGTCTGGGGTAAGGAATGGTGGTGGCAGAGTGACAAACACACTTTGGAAAGACAAATAAATAGCTCGGGAACAGAACAGCAGTTTGGGTATTTCATTCCTTTTAATGGACTTTATCCCTTCTGGGGAGAGAGGGAACATGTACTGAGCTGTGAGGGGGGTGTCAAGGTCAGGGCTCGCTGCCGTGGGCTTTGGCCAGAAGTGTTGGGAAACTTCCCTGGGGAGTTGCTCCGGGAGCAGCCGAAATGCCTCAAACTGCCTCAAACTGCTCTGTCTTCCCAGTTTCTCCTGCCTGGTTTGGATTATTTGGCTCGTCTGGGGAAAGGCACCCTGTGGTGTCTCAATCCAGTTTTTAGAGGAAATGGCTGGTTCTGGAACCCCTTTGGCCAAAGCCCTGGAATTCCAGCTTAATTGAGGGATTTGGAGATGAATCTTCAGTGGAAACCCTGAGAGGACAGAACAGGCTGGGATCTTCTTGGACAGAGCCCAGAAGACCCCTGTGGGGCAGGGGGCTCCTGGGGCAAGGAGCTTCCAGTCCTTTTGTCTGCTGGACTTCCATCCCAAGCCTCCAGCCCTCTCTGGATGGATCAGCTTCCCTCTCTCTCAGCAGAAGGAGGTCAGAGCTTTCGGTCCCTCTGGTCCCCGGGGTTTGTGTCCCGCTCCCCTCAGTGTTTGAGGACGGTGGGTGTGATCATCCTGGGGTGGGAGTAGTACCGGCACTCCCGGGGGGGCTGCAGCTCCATCACCCTCGTGCTGATGTTCTCCCTCTTGAACCCGGCCTGCACCAGGGGCCCCACCTGGGTCTCCTGCGGGAGAGGAGGGAGGGGAGGGAGGAGCAGCCCTGGGTTGGGCTGTCCAGGTTGCAGCGGGGGCACGGCGGGACACGGGGACAGCGCTCACCTCAAACATCCTCTCGATGTCGCTGTACCTGCTCTTCAGCAGCTCCCCCCACGAGGTCAGGTTGCAGTAGGTGAGGACCCCCCCGGGCCGCAGCAGGCGGAAGGCGTGACCCTGCCGTGGGAATCCAGGGAACTCGGCACCTCTCCAGGCTCCCCCTGCCCCCCCAGCTGCTCCCCACACGTTACCTTGATGAAGTTGAACTGGTGCGTGTGCCACGTGTCCTCTGACAGCGGGTACGTGTCGTACAGGATCCCTGGGGGGGCACCGGGACCGCCCGTCAGCCGGGACAGACCCCCGGGGGCTCCAGTGCCGGGGGAAGGCCCCCCTGGACAGCCTGGCACTGGGGTTTCCTACTGCAGTTTGCCCCCCGTGTCTCTGACCCTGGAAGGCACCGACGTGCTGCTCCCCTGGTGTCTCTCCCATGGGATGGAGGGGGCTGGGTCCCCACCCCACCCTGGCCAAACTGCTCCCCCCTTTCCACGGTTCAGGGATGTCCCAGCACCCCCCTGCCCTGGGCTCCTGCCTTGCTGTGCACCCCCTTCTGCCATGGGGACCCCACCCAGCCCCTCCTCTCCCTCTGGGGATGTCTCACCACTGAAGTGCCCGTCCGGCAGCGTCGGCACCACGTCCTCCCACAGCCCCTTCAGGGGCACCACCTGCGGGCAGGGGGACAGAGGGCTGAGGTGAGGGGGGCACAGGCACCCCCCAGCCCTGGCACAGCCCACCCCGGGCTGACCTTGTGTGGCTGTGCCTTGGCCCACTGCTCCAGGCGCCGGAACACGCCCTCGTTGCACTCGATGATCCAGTGCTCCTGGATGTCGAACTCCTGCACCTTGGAGGCGGCGATGGCCATGCCAAAGCCCACCTCGAGCACGCGCCCACCTGGGGACAGGAGGGCAGCTGGGGGGGCCAGGCATCCCCAGGGACACACAGCCCTGGGTTTGCTCTGCCTTGGACCCCCGCCAGCCCCAAATTCTGCCTTGTTCTTTCCCCAAATTGGGCGGTTTTGGGGCAGGTTGGGAGCATGTGACGCCGCTGGCGCTGAGCTCAGCCCCGTGTCCCTGTCACCTGCTGCCCCCCTGGCTGATCCCACAGTGCCTCTTTACCCCCACCAAGCCCCCCCAGGGGATCACGGCGGGAACAAAGAACATCCCACAGCAATGCTGCCAAACCCTCCTCCAGTGGCACGTTGGAAACAGCCCAAAAAGCAGCAGGTCCTGGACGGGAGGTGGCTGGACCCCCTCCCCACTCCCCCATCCCCTCTGGGGAATGTGTCCCCCTGACACGAGCACACAAGTGCCACCACAGCCCTGTGGTGT